ATATGCCTTTTGAAAAAATTCAGCAATGTCCTCACAACTTACCATCACCATCATGGGTCATAACCATTTCATCATATACATTTATGTCCTGATATGTGACAAACCTATACACATACACATTTAAAGCATGAGTTATTATGTTGTACATTTCAAATTTAAGAATTTTCAGGTATATTCATTTATATGCAATATAAATGTATTAAATATAATTATATAAATTATATTTATATTCAAAATATACAAGTTGTTTTCTACTTTCACATGACCATTTAAAATGTCATTTTGCATGCAAGATATGCTTATTTTCCAATTTACCATGGAAAATCATTCATTCATTTATTCATTTTCTTTTAGGCCTTTACACATCAGGGGTCGACATGGTGAAATGAACCGCTAACTTATCCAGCATAGGTTTTACACGGCAGATGCCCTTCCAGCTGCAACCCAACTAGGCGAAACACCCATACACTCCTGCATTCACATACATACACTACGTGCCAATTTAGCTTATCCAATTCACCTATAGTGCATGTCTTTGGACTGTGGGAAGCACCCAGATGAGACCCATGTGAACACGGGGAGAACATGCAAACTGCAAACACAAGAGATGCAAATGCATCTCTTGTGTGCACTTGTATTTGAATCGCATGACCCACATGGAAGTGACCAGTGCGATGAGCACTATTGAATCAACACACCCTTGTTAGCAGACGTATGAATAGTCTGTGGATGGCAATTATGATTTGGTTTGTGATCTGTTTTCATTCAACACAGTGAAGTGTGAATTGCTTGTGCTGGTAAATTTCTCTCATTGCTTTTATAACAATCATGCTAAGTCCTCAGGAGGTTTTTGAACACATTCAACCATTACAAAGATAAGGATATTAACAGAGATATTAATAGAGATATCTAAAGATATTAAGAGACCCCTTCAAAGTTATCTATTTTTAATTAATTAGGTATGGGTTTGGATAAAAGCCCAATACCTTTGTTTTGTTCTATGAAGGAGTAATAACTAGAGCCAGACAGAATCTGTAAACGTTTTTGTTTTTTTCTGCTGAAAATTTTGTAAAAATAAAAAAAATCTGTGGATTTATACAGAATTATTTTGGGAGTATCGTAACCAAAAACTTAATATATAAATAAAAATAATAGCTTTTTAACTTTTATTTGATGTTTATAATGCAAATCCAATTAGATCCACTTATTTGGTAAACAAAGCAAGTCTCTCATATAATATATCTACTAAATGACAGAAAATATTACTTTACGCATGTACTACTGTACTGTAAATAAATCAAATAAACATTTTTATATTAGTCAATATTATTAAAAATAGTATAAGTCGACATTAATTTAAAAACTGACTGTATATACATTTACACACATTTACAAGTAAATAAATAAACACAACAATGGGCCAAAAATCGGCGTAAATCTGCAGATTTCTTTGTGCACAGATTCCGTGTGTGCCTGGTAATAACCTTACTTCAAAATCTCTAATAAAAATTTTATTTGGAGTATTTTTTTTTTTTCCAGAAAGTGACAGTCAAAATAACACATTTCCAACAACTTTTGCTTCATTATTTAATCTAAAGTTAACATTATTATTGTGTTGCCTAAAAATCAATCTACAAATCTGAAAAGATGACACTATTTTGTTAATTTATGCAAAAAAGGCTTTAAATGACAGCTTTTAAAAAATTTTTATTAGATAATTTTTCTGTTCTTTTACAGATTAAAACCAAAAATGTTTTACTCAAACTAGAAGCTAGAGTATTTTGATTTTGTTTTGTTGCATAAAATATCAAAAAAAGATTTTCCAGTCATGTTTATATAAATTTGTAGGCAACACTTACCCCAAATCGCTAAATACCAAAACGATTGCCAGGGATTTACTGTAGTAGCACGAATCGCACAATGGTTTTGTGGCAGGATTATGAGATTATTATGAGGAAATAAAGTCAGAATATTTAATTGCATTTTTGTATACAGATGTTTTAGCATGCCGATGAAAATATGAGCATACATTTCATGATTTCATGATTTCATGAAAAGTTTTTCTTCTTATTGCATCATACGGAACAACATGTATTAATTTTAGTTTTACCTGTGTATATATATTTTACTCTGAAAATGTAAAAAAATGTAGCTGTTGATTTTTGATTTGTAGCTCTTAAATTTGTAAACGTGCTAGTCATGTTATGTCATGTAAAATGACCAACCAAGTCTCATCAAAAATTTGAATCGACAAATATGTACCCTGAACTACATTCTCTTGCAGTTTTAGTTTTCTCAAATCCACCACTGGCCATGTTTTCTCATATGTGCCATTTCTCATAAATTCACCAGGGGCTGCCGGATGCATTACTGCGAATATTGACGTCTTTCTTGTGCGCATCCGCTTGATATCAACTGACCCGCACACCCCCTTCCCTAATCCCAACCGATAGTGTTTTCAAAAACTAACTAGAACAGAGAAAAGCCACCGCGGATGAGTGCTTCTGCCTCGATCTCATGTGCTGTTTTTAGGTTTTGTTTTACCTGGTTTGTAAAACCCTATTTTGTTTAATTCTAACCCTGGTTCCGCTCTGCCTCCGAAGTTCGGTGTCATACATGGCGAGCTATCCAGCAAACCAGTCAAGCTGGAAAAGCTGTCCATATGGAGGTAAGCAGTCAGTGGTACCACCCCATATAGTCTGTTTTATTCATAAAATGCAGCCATATGTACCCGCAAGCACGTATTTCTAGGTTCTCAAAATGTACGCCAGGGCAAATTTTCCCGAAGAGCCAGTGTTGAAAATGACTCCGGTCCAACTGGAGAGAAAAAGAGATTTGACTATTATTATTATTATTATTTTTAAATAACTTCTATCATTTTTATAAAAAAAGTTATATTTTTAAAAAAAGTTTATCGACCAGCCCTACCTGAATTTAGATGATCTGATGAATAAATAAACACCACATTAAGAATTATGTTAAACAAGACCTTTATATATAGTCAGGAGCCACACATATTAATTTTGTTTGGCCTGTATGTTTTTATTAATATTTATTTATTTATTTATTTTTTGACTCTCAAAGTGTCAGTAGCGGTTTATTTGCGTGTTATGAATCACCGAATATCACAGTAAATCCCAGGTGTGAAGTGTGCCAAAAAAAGCTCTTACACCATTTTAATTGGTTCATTCGATATACATATACAGTCAAGTCTATGAATTACAACTTGACAATAAACCAGTAGATTATACAACAGCCTTCCTGAGCAGTCTTAGTGCATGAGATGTGTATATATTGTGCTGAACGGTAATGAGCTTCTTTCTCCAGAGCGTCTCTCTGTTGACACTCCTCATCAGGTTAAAGGAAGTGCCTCTTTCTTTCTCGTTAACAGCTTCTCCCCGGTGTAAGACATTGTCTTTCAGAACACACTTAAGTGAATGCGCTGTGTTATTTTGCTGTCAGAAACTACATCTGGGACTATATTTATTTATTTAAGTCATCCACGTATTACCGTTTGACGTTGAGAACTGCATCACAAGGATCTCTTTTTCCACTAACACTTTTTTTTTTCCCCTCTCCCAGTCTGGATTTTCGTGAACATGAAAAGGCGGCGTATGTTTTAGCGCTTGACTCCAGTGTGTATACTAACACTTCAAAGTGCCTGCATAGAGAAAGAGACTCATATTTAAATCGAATTTCATATCTCTAGTGACGCCTTCTACCACAATAGGACACGAATGACTATAAATACATCAGAGCGGGTGCTTTTTTTAAGGGGAGTTGAAGTTTGAATTTGCAAGAAGGGGCATGAACATTCTCTACAGTGTGGATGATTTTACCGTAGGAAGTATGGATGTGACAATACTCGAAAATCAGGAATATTTCAGCCTTTCAGTGATAATGAGACACATGCATCTTGATGTGATTCGCACTTTGTTGTTCCGGGTTCAACACCCTCAACAAGCAATTATAGTTGTTTGGTGTTTTTGTCTTCAACAAGGGTTTTAAATCACCTATGGAATGTTGCACATTTCAAACAATAGTCTAAACATAAAACATACTCGACAGTCTACACATCATTGTCAAGCTTTTAAAATTAAAACTATTAGATTCTTAGTTTGTGTCTGTGGCCCATGTCGTATAGGTATTTTGTTTGAGGCTGAGTTCAAATCAGATGCTACCAAACTGCCCATGCTGCATTTGAATTTGTCCCAGTTTTGTTTATGTCTATTTCAGTTTAGTGTATTTATGTGTCACTCCCTGTCGCTTTAGTTTAAACTTACTGGCTTATTAGTTATGATTACTGTCTCTGCTATTTGTCACGTACTTCCCATTTGTCTTTGTGTATTTAAGTTCTTTTTATTTCAGTTCTTTTTGCTGTTCAATGGTTGTGTTTAGGGGATTAAACTTTGTTTATTTCTTTCTATTCATTAAATACCTATGTTGAATACTACGTTTGGTTCTGCTTATTGCCTATCCTTTACCAACATTACTACACATGCATTCTAAAAAGTGGAGCTGCGGGCTCTTTGCAGGACAGGTCATAAACCTTGCCTTTTCTGTGTAAACAAATGGCACTTGAGCCCAAAAAAATCTACAATAAAATTTTCTAAAAGGTGTTTCTCACAATAAACACAATAAATTAACAAAAGACACAAATGAACTCACCGTCAGTTGGTGCCGAGTAAATTTTTCATCTGTATATCCTGCATTTTGCTTTCTAATTATCTTTAGTAATATGTAAAACACAAACTGGTGCAGCTGGCTTTGACTTTGCTGTGTTTCCCATTTTCAAAATAAGAGTCCCACATACAGAGTAAGTTTAATATAAACTTCAGGTCTAAATGATGTAGAGCATGACAAAGTACATGCAAACAATGGTGTGGCTCACGGTATGGCTATTTTCATGTACTGAATTGTTATTATTTGACAATGCATAGGTATATCCAGATTTTAATATGGATCAAAACAGTCATTATTTATTTATTTTTCTCATGTAGATGACAGCCTGAGCTCAGACAGCGAGGTTCTGGATATTCCCTTCATCAGCCGCTATCGGGCAGGAGTGTATGAATGCACCGCAGCCAATGACATAGCTGTGGACACACAGACGGTCGAGCTCACAGTCAACTGTAAGTGCCTCATGAATTTAGATCAACATATGCTCACATACATATGCAACATATCACACAGATGCACAACACCATGCTGGAAATCTGGCCTTCCTTTCTTTCTTTCTTTCTTTCTTTCTTTCTTTCTTTCTTTCTTTCTTTCTTTCTTTCTTTCTTTCTTTCTTTCTTTTTTTCTTTCTTTCTTTCTTTCTTTCTTTCTTTCTTTCTTTCTTTCTTTCTTTCTTTTTTTCTTTCTTTATTTCTTTCTTTCTTTCTTTCTTTCTTTCTTTCTTGTGAAGTTTATGAAAACTATTTGGTTATTGCAATTAGTTCTTTTTTTTTTTTTGTTGTTGTTAATTTTCCTGATCTTTTTCTAATCTCCTTTGTATTTTTGTAAGTATTTACATAATGTATTAATGTTTTGTAATAACTTTAAAATAATTTTGTGAGGTTTATGAAAAAAAATAGGTTTTGCAATTTGTAGTTTTTTGTTCTGAACCCTTTATTCTTATCTGTTGTTTATTTCCTGCTCTTTCTCTCCTCTTTTTGTGAGGTTATTCCTTGGATAATGTTTAAATTTTTTTTTTAAATAATTGTTATTTGCAATAATAATAAAAAGTTGTGATAGTCAACATTTATTTATGTTTTATACTTTCTTTCTACTGATGATTACGATTTTTACGAAGCATTGTAAATATCTTTCTACCTTTCTTTCTACCTTTCATTTTTGATTTATTATGGTTTATATATTTGAATGTGAATAAACAGACATTTTATGATTTTATTTAAAAAATAAATACAAAATGAAAATTTAATGTGCAATTAATTATCTTAAAATGCAGAATAAAATAAAAAAAACACAGTGGTCAAAAGAATATTAAACCACACTCATGTATTTAAAGTTATACTCAGGGCTTAATTTATGAAGGAACAAGCCTGATTCGGAACCTCTGAAATCTGATCAGGCACCTCATTTTACTGATCCCCCTCCTCCTCCCCCGTCCGCTCTTCACTTTTACTTTCTTCCTTGACTCCTAACCCACTTAACTTTCGTCCTCGACACATAAAGACTAATTTTGGATATATTTAAAACACATTTAAAGGGGTGATAACATGTGCAATGGAATGGTAAAACATCCGAAGCATTGTAGTAATATGAGAATTATGATTGATTGTGTTTATTGTATTTTTACATGTTCATTTACATAATAAACAAAACATATTTCTTTTTTATACTGAATAAAATCATTGACTTTTAAAGACTTTTAAGACATTTAAAACCCATTTTTGTGTAAAAATGACAGTCTATAAACATTATACTTTTAGTTATTAAATTAAATCAATGTTATTATTAAATTAATTTATAATCATTTAATTAATATTTTTAATGAAATAAAATGATTATCACTACTGGTTGAAGAGGTCTGAATTACATATTCGTTGATATATTTGAGTCTTATATGTTATTAATATATATAATGAAATGCAAAATAAAACCTTAATCACAAGTAAACTTATCACTGTATACATGCCGTTTTTTCTTGATTTTATACAGTATTTAAGCCATTGCCCTATGATAGTCAGTAAGCATTACTCTAGTAGGTTTACATCAAGTTGACCGACTGAAGCTCTGTTTTTGTACTGTTTTTCAGATGCTCCCAGTGTTTCAGATGGCAGGGATGTTGGCGTGACTCTGGGTCAGAGAGGTGTCCTGCAGTGTGAGGCAGATGCTGTACCCGAGGCAGATTTTGAGTGGTACAGAGATGACAGAAGGTACTTCATCAGGTCCTTTTATAAGACTTGATGAAATTATAGACGCTTACAGTAACATGAATCTTAAAGGGATATTTCAAATAAAGTCAGGAATCTTAGTTCACTTAAAAATAGCAATCCTGTCTTCATTTACTTATACTTGTTTAAAATCTGATTGAGTTTCTTTCTTTTGTTGAGCACAATGAATATATATCGAAGAATGTTGAGAAAAAAACAACCTTTGACTTTCATATGATTATTTCTTCCTACTATGGATGTCAATGGCTGATTTTTTTCCCTTCAATCTTTATAATATCTTGTTTTGTGTTCAGAAGCAATTTGTGTAAGATTAGAACCTCTTGAGTATGAGTAAATGGTGAGGATATTTTCATTTTTTGGTGAACTTTTCCTTTAGAGTTTACTTAATTTCTAATGTACTGTGATTTCTCTTTCAGTCACAACAATTCAAGTTTGTGTATAGTAGCAGCAACAGTAGTTATTTGATCAAAATTGACAAAAAGACAGCCTCCCACTTGAGATTGGGATTATTATGGTTATGATGTGTTGTGTTCTGTTACTATTGAGAGTTTTAAGTCATGTAACCTGTGCGGAGTTTGGTGGGCAAAAAGATACAAATTGGCTTCGCCTTAATGGCAGCTAGCTACACTGGGATCTCCATAGAATTGCAGCATAATGCAGTATTGAATTATATATTTTTGTGTTATAAATATTTTAAATAATAATTAAATTAAACATTTCTATATTATCTGTTTCATGTGATGACTATTTGGATCACATATCAAAAGAACAAAAGAGAGATATAATCACAAACTGATAATTGTGGCCACTCACTCACACTCACAAGTCCCTTTCACACAGCGATACCGGTAAATATCTGGAATAACTTTACCGGATTTTATTTTTTATTTTTTAAATGCTGTTCACACGGGCAAGGATGTTCCGGAATTTTTCCAAAACTGCAGCTAAATGTTTACACATTTGACCACATTACAAATCCTGTGGAAACATAGGGAGAAACACTTTCGTATGTCAAGATGTACATAATAAGTGTTCTGGCTCTCACCGGCTGCTAGCACACAGACGCATCAAGCAACTAAAACAGAGCTTGAAGGTAAAGAAACAGCAGTTTATCACAAGCATTTTACACACTTGGCATTAAGAAGAAACATAGAAATGTAATCTGATTAACATCTAGCAGCTAAATGTTTCTTTAAAAGTATCCAAAGGCTTTTATTTTCATAAACTGCATGGATGTGAATGCATCTGAATATCCTGATTGGCTGGAGTAGACGTCTCACGTCAGCATGTTCTAAGCATGAACACGCTCAATTTTTCTTCTGCGTTCACACAGAGCAGCATTCCGCCAAATTACCAGTAATGTTACAACTGCTTTTACCGGAAACTGCCAGAACGAATTTACCAGTATTTTCAAAAAGGGCCTGTTCACACTTACAGACCTGTATTTTTCACAGGCCGGTAAGTTTCTGGAAGGGTCGATATGTGTGAAAAGGGCTACTGTCATTTAAAACTCTCATGTCCCTGTCAGAGCTCCAATTCAGCTATTTTACATCACTATTTTGGATATTTCTCAGCAATTTAGACATTAGTGACAATGTTATAGCTGTTAAGTATCTGCTTTTATATTAAGTTTGATTTTTTTTTATTGTTTTGTTTTATTATCTAGATTAATAATTGCTGGTAGGAAAAATCTATTTGTTATAAAGAGAAACTGTATCAAAACATAAAAACGCACTTATCAATGCTGTCAGTGCTGTTACCATTCAGGACAAATCCATAGATTTCTCCTTTTTGGCTGTTCTTTCTATGAAGGAATTCTGTTGAAGCACAGCCCAAGTATGTTGGTTAGTAACAGTATATCTTATGGCACTTAGATTATCTGTTATGTTGGTGGCTTAAAAAAAGAGGCCAGTCACTGGGGGGAGTTCCACTAATTTATTTATACTTTCACCTTTGCCAAGACCTCTTTTGGTTTTAACAAATGTATTCCTTCATGTTTTTTTTTTTACTTTTTAACAAAAACTTCTCCTTTCCCACGGCTGTTGCAATTTCTAGCCAAGATTGATTGATCATTAGGTTATCTCTATGATCACAGATCATAAAGATGTCTGTACAGTCGTACTTTTTCAGACAAAATGTCTTCAGACTGTTTCTCGAGTCTCAAAAAAAAAAAAAAAAAACAGCGCACCACAGGCCAAAATCATGTCGCACACACCCAAAACGAACATCTGCAAACTCTGCGATGATGTCACATTCACGGTGCGCACTCAAGCGAACTAGCGGACGCATCGAGTATAAACCAGGCTTCAGTCATTCTTTAACAGAGTATATGCAGTCAAATCTCTGGCTTTTTGCTTCTTTTTGTACATATTGAAGGAGTTTAAATTGTTATGAAAATACTACAAATAAAAGGCATAATAACGATTATTCTGTCCCAACCAATTGTATTGTCCCAATAGCGTAAAAGCAGCCGAAAGCAGTTTCGGTAACTTTAGTGACTTCACTGGCAATTGTTCTTCTCAATATTGTATCTTTCTTTATTTGTAAAACTACAACAAAGAGGGGAAAAGTAAGTTCATGTTTACTTTATAAAGTTATAAATTTATAAAAAAATTATATTAAATGAGACCATTTGAATTGAATATTAGCCAAATAATCATATATGTTACACCACACGCTTAATGTGTAAGCCATGAAGAAGTGTTTGCACAACAAAATACAAGCAGTATAAATCTAATAAAAGTTAAATGACCCTTGAGTATTTACAGAAACAGAGATTTAGTAAAAAAAGATCACTTACGGACATATATTTTAATGATCAAAACAGCCACAGAATTAAAACGCATGTGTGTTACTCTCAACTGTACACTGAGAGAAAATGAAAGTAAAACTAATCTGAATGTAGTACTTTAAATGTCAACTAGTTGACAGGTCAAAACCACAAGTGACTACTCGCTACTGCACATCAATGATAGTGGTTCAAAAATATATGATTTAACAGGCCGAATCTTGTTATATTTTTGACGTCTGTTGCAGGCTGGAGGTAGGAGGAGGGCGGGCTGTAAATGGCCCACGGGCCAGCAGTTTGAGACCCCTGTCCTAATTAATAAGCTATCAAATTCAACATTGCACATTTTGATTTGGCATTAAATTGTCGATTGTGATATGTAGCTGATACATCTTATCACCCTTAGTATTTACACTAGATCTGTTGGAGATATAACATTAGCAGTGATACAGCAAGGTGTGTGTTGTAAATGTCAGACGAGATGTTCTGTCAAACGTTCAGTTTTCAGTAGCAAAATACTTGACTTTGGAGTGCCTTTGGTTGAAATGTGTCTCTCTCAAACTGTCTTTGATGTCAAGTGAAGTTCTCACAATGTTATATCATAATTAAACGTGCATGTGTGCGCTTCCCTCTGCCAGCAATTCAATCCTGCCGTTTTGCTGCTTTTAATGTATCCCGGCCCGCCGCAATCTGCGTCCGAAAACGTTGCTGCAGTCACAAATGTAACCTCTAGCTTCAAAGGAGGCTCTGATGTGGCGTAAACAAGGCTGGGTTGATTCAAGTCTCTCCATTTGCTGACTGTTTCGCAGGATCTTCAATGGCTTAGATGGCATTGAGATCGAGGCTGCCGGAGCACTTTCAAGGCTGACTTTCTTTAACGTGTCCGAGGCAGACTACGGAAATTACACCTGCGTCGCCATCAATAAACTCGGGAGCGCCAACACCAGCTTCGTGCTATACGGTATGTTTCAATTTGAAGTATGGTCGGAAGTTAACAGGGTCTTGAAGTAGAAATGCCACCAAAAGGGACAAAAATGCTGCACAAATCCAGCGACATCAAAACGACATAAAAAATGTTAAAAAGTGTATCGATTTGATGTCAAAACCTTGATGTCAATTTGACATCCACACATTGATATACTTTTGACTACCCAAATAATGACACAAAAGTATTATACATTAAAATGTTTAATTTCATATTAAACTTTTGATTTGCATGTAAACTACCATTGATGTCAAAATAACATTAATTTGACATCCAAAATTGACGTCAAAAATCAATTACACGACAGTCCTGTTATCATTTTTTGCTGTCAATGTTATATGTCAGTTTGATATCATTTTGAGATCTATTTGATGTTAATTCACAACTTAATTTACATTGTTTTAAATGTTTTTTGATGTGTTTTATAACATTGTTTTTACATCAAGGTGCCTGCTGAAAATTCTAGATTCTGAGCATTAAATGTATTGTAGTTGTGGTCAATAAATGTGCTGCATTATGTTTAGATATGTGCACATTGCATCAATTTTCTGCTAATTATTTAACTTTGTGTATTAAGCATTATAACCAACTTTTGTTGATGCATTGACCAATGAAATGACAGTTTTTTTTTTTTTTTTGCCGTGTATACAACCATACCTCTATTATTATGTGTATATGCTGTTTGGTAGATTATTTACACAAGGCTATGCAAGTTTTTGTGTATGCCACCTTTGAAAGGCATTCAAGGATTTTTTTTTTTATATAACGTTTAATTAACTGACATAAAAAGACAATGATGCGATTCTAAAAACTCATGCCAATGAAAATTCTTTTAGTCTTTATTATTATTATTATTATTTAACCTTGATTTTGGGCCTCTTAAAGAAATAGTCTGCCCGAAATTGAAAATTCTGCCATCATTTATTTACCATACACTTATTCCAAGCTTGAGTTCATTTCTTATGAAATACAATTAGACAATAGAAAACATTTGTAAAAATGTTAGGAACCGGTAATCATCCATAATATTTTTTAATGACTACTGGTTTCCAATATTTTTCGAAATATCTTCTTTTGGGTTCACCAAAAAAAAAAAAAAAAAAAATTTTATTGGTAAAACGTTTTTAGCTTTGCCTAATTGATTTAAGTATGATTTAAGGACTAGATATATTTACTTATTGTGATTTCTCCCATTGTTATTTCTCTGGAGTTCAATTCAAGGTGACAGATTTTAAAAAGTAATTCCTGACTCTAATTTGGAGCCTAATTAAGTCCTTAACTTAATTATTTATGTATTAATTTATTTATTGATCAGAATTAAACACTCATTAACTCTCTTTCCTTTGGGTTTTCTCTTCTTTATCAGGAGTCACCACAGCGGAATCAACCGCTCGACATTAAACATTTTGTTGATAACATTTGATGATGAAATCTTCTTTGAAGTTATTGGATAAATCTAACTGTTTGAAGTAAAAGACAAGAAAAATAAATAATATGACAAAAAGTCATAATGACAAATGTTTTTATGTTACTTTAACTTATTTAATAAATTAATCAGGTTTCAACAACACTGGCTACAATGTTTACATGGACATCAGTAATCAAATTATTTGCCTTAATCTGAATAAGACACTAATATGATTAAGGTGTTTACATGAGTTGATTTTTGAATATTTCTTTCATGATCCCTTTTACATGTTATAGCGCATAATACGATTAATGTCATTCCGTCACCACACTATCCACAGTGTTTCATTCTTAATTTGTTGACTTTAACTGCAATTTGGCACTTTCACTTTCCTTCAGGAACATTCTATGCATGCCCCGTAACAAACGAGATACTGGATGTGGATAAGAACTACTGGAAGTGTATTGTTTTAATGGAATTTCATATCATGCTGAATACGAGAAAAAAACTCCACATTTTGCGGTGTATGTGTCTGTGGTCCTTTACTGACTCGATTGGTGATGAGAATAGCAACAAACAGACATGTATGTATAGACTATCTTGTTGCACAACGCAACGAAAAGTCCTACAAGATGGTAATAGTTTGATTAAGGTGTTTATGTGTGTGTACTTCAGTAACGCCACAAAAAACGACATACTCCACATGTCTTAATTTGATTTATGTTTAGTTTAATTATGCCCTTAATCAGATTAAATTATCTAAAAAAAACACTGTTTACATGGTAGACTCTTAATTAAAGGATTGTTTTAATCATATTAAAATGGGATTATTGGTGTCCATGTAAACGAAATCAATGTTTTAGTTCTAAAAGGTAAAACTTAATATTTTTAGTCAGTTTGACTAATGTAAATTGAAATGACTAGAACATTTTATTTGATTCAACAAAGAAATGTAAGACTTTTCTTTACAGTGTAACTGCCTGTTCTACCAAATGTTTGACCGTGTTTTGAATTTTAAATAATGAATGTTAAATTCATTTAAAGAATGACAGTTTTAAATAATGATTTACAAACTCAGCATTGCTGGTTTACAAGACAATCAATCAATCATAATCCTGTTGCACTTCTACACTACACCTTTTTTTTATTTTTAAGAATGAAGCCAAAATCAAGAAAACATGTTGAATGAGAATCTGAAATATTTTATGGCATACTTCAAAACAGTTTAGTATTCACAAATGTTTATTTATATATATATATATATATATATATATATATATATATATATATATATATATATATATATATATATATATATATATATATATATATATATATATATATTATAGTATATTAATTCTGGTACTTTTACTATAAACTGACATATCAAACATTTGGTAGATGCTGATATTTTAAAAATTATGGGATGTGTTGAAAAAATTAATTGAGTGTGTTAACTAGCAACATAAGGAGTTAAGAAATGCAATCGATTTTTTTTTCTTGGTGGGGCAGTTAAAAGAGTTAACTGTAAGCATTGCTTATATGGTGGCGAATGAAAAAATTGCCCCTAAATTCAGTCCTTTTATGCCAAAATTTCTTATCCTGAGCCTTTTCACATTTACTAGAAATGGTTGTTTGGAACTATTGGAATTGTTTTTGATTCATTATTTGCATTAACTTTTCTTCACCAGAGCTGATAACTGTTGCTGTAAACACTTTGGATTTCAAATTGATATAGTTTTCAGTCTGGTGCAACTATTAATCTTTGAGATTTCCATCTCAGGATTCTCCTTCATGATTTTTTTGTGTTTGTTTTTGTCAATGTAGAAATAATTGAGCCCACTAGTTCAACACTATTGCAAGGTTAGTAGTGTGCATGAAATATCTGGCATGCTGCTCATTTCATAATCTCATAAAACATGTCCCAACGCGTTTAACACACAAACATCCTGATTTTCACATCAACCGCAACATGACGAGGCCAAGCCGTCCAGTTTATCGGGACAAAATTCCCTAAATTGAACAGGGGGTAACATAATTGTTGCGCCTCGTCTGACAGAACATGATTGTCAGATAGTAAATTGGCCACTAGCTATTCTATTAAGAAAGTTATTAGCTTAAAATCCCATTTTGTAACGTCAATAATATATTCAGCAGATTGAGTGACGTTCTCAATTGGTGCGTGGGTCACTGACGTGCCTCATTCTGCCTTCAGTCACTGTGGCTTGATGAATGGCTCTGTTTTCTGGAGCCCTAAACAGTCTTTCTCTTTCTCCTTTGCCCCTCGTTTTCCTCTCTAACCATCCTCCACCATGGCATGGCTTCATTATGTCAATTCATGCTGTTCATCTGCTGTTTGTAAGTACACGTTTGAGTCATATGAGGTCTTTTGATGTTTGTAGAATCGTAAAAGTGCTTCGTTGTTGCTCAGCTGATGAGAAATGTACTTGAAGGAAAATTGTCATCATTTGCTTGCACTCTTCATACTTCTGGGGGAAAGGGAAGGATTTTAAATACTGTTCTTCAGTCTGTGCAATTACAGTGAACGGGGACTAGAGCTTTCAGACTTCAAAAAGGATGCGCGGCGCATGTGACTTAATGACTAATAACTTCCAAGTTTTTACACTGTTATTTATTTAGTGTTGTAGCTTTTCATTTATGATTTAGAGTGGTCTTTTTTTAAGATGGATAATGACACAAATGTGAATGCTTCTGAATTTATTTGTGTGTGCAAAAAAGTAGCATTTTTAAAACTATAATTATGAGTATTAAGTCCCGCTCTCTATGTAAATAAGCCAAATAGTTTTTTTTTGTTTTTGTTTTGTTTAGTTTTTTTACAATTATCCAGTTGTAGTGGCTCATTTGGGGTATTCTCAGTTCAGATGCTTTCACAGTTATCTATTGTATAGTTGCACATTTGATTTATTTTCAGTATAGTCATCTGTTTATTTATGATTTAGATCTGTCTTTTTTAACAATACATTATTAAGCAAATATACACAACTCTGAATAAATGCATGTGCACAAAATATGAATTTTCTAACTATTATTGGGACTATTAAGCTCCAATTTCTATGAGAGAGTCAATTACTACAATATGCTAAATGATATTCGAGTGTAACATATTCTTGTAGCACAGTTCATGTAAGGTTTTGGAGCAGACTTTTTAAATATGCCATTTAAAATGCCCAATTTGACTAGATAAGGTAATTAATGAGCAAATAATAAGATAATACATGTACATAATAAGGTCACTTATAAGTACATAATAAGTATTGTAAAGCTGGTCATGTGTTAAGTAAATATAAACATGTAATCTGATTTGTTACTGTCTCATTTGTTATTTGAATATATGCTCTCGTTTTTTAATAACTATGATAATAAATCAACAGTAAATACAATTAAATGTTATTTTATGTAATAATTTGAGTAAAGTATTGGCAATTGAGTGCCTTCTGAACATTTAAAAATATAATGCAGGAGTTACACAGACTTCTTTATTGTACTTTTCAATCCTTTTTGAAACCTGAAGATTTGCCTTTTTTGGTTCACTATCATCCAAATTTTAGGTGGAATTTACGCTAGTGCATTTTCATTAAAAACAAATAGGTTTTGTTAAGGCTACCTATGTAGTGTCCACACTACTACAGCATTTTCAACCTGTCAAAATAAAGTGTTTGAAAATGCTTAAGACCCCATTTTAATATGATGATAATATGTGCATGCCAAATGACCATGAATAGTCTTTCTTTTCTTTCTTTTTTTTTTTTCTGTATTACATTAAAAAACACTACCAGTGGGCAGCAAGTATGGATGCCAACATATTATGTGCATGCCCAGTGTGGACAAGAACAATTTTTAAACAGCGTTAAAATGCCAGTACGACCAAAGAAAGTTTTCATTCTAAAATGCCATTTTTAAGGGAAAATGCACTAATATAAATGCTAAACAAATCACCCACTTACATGTTTGATCCAGTATTTCACTGTTAATCTCTATCTTTTAATAAATATACAGTTAATATTGGTCCATTTTGAAGAAAGAACAGAAACAGTTTGGATTGACTTGGCGAGTAAATGATGACAGAATGCTTGTTGTTAGATGAGCTTTTCCTTTAAATGTACATTTGCCCCTTACAAAAGAGTGCCGTGGTCTTACCTGTAAACAGTACTGGTTTATGGTACATAAATCTTACAATGTCAAGGTAAATGCAATATATCATGGTACTGTAACAGTAGGAAAGACCAGGTATGTTTAAAATCACTTTCTTACATTTTATTTACAGACTTTTTACTAAAACTCATCCATCCTGTGGTAAAAAAGTATAAACATGTCAGTAGCTTTATGATAAAGTATTATTATGATTATATTTATTTATTTTAAATTATTCACATATTAAACATTATATAAGAATCATATTTGTGATATTTAAATGTATTTATAAAAATAGTACATTTTATAATGAAATTATAATTAAGTTATTTTAATATTTTTATAAATAATATGTATAAGAAAGTATATAAAATATTGTAATTAATTCAACATAATATAACAAATTAAATGCAAATAGATGAACATACGCAAATTCTATTAATATTTGTTTAATCGCTTTAAAAATTAACATATTCAAATTTTATTAATATTGTTTTAATCTATTTAAAAATGAACATACACAAATTATTTTAATAACTATGATAATAAATCAAGAGTAAATAGAAGTAAATGTTATTTTATGTAATAATTTGAGTAAAGTATTGGCAATTGAGTGCCTTCTGAACATTTAAAAATATAATGCAGGAGTTAAACAGACTTCTTTATTGTACTTTTCAATCCTTTTTGAAACCTGAAGGCTTGCCTTTTTTGTTCACTATCATCCAAATTTTAGATGGAATTCACACTAGTGCATTTTCATTAAAAACAAATTATTCACATATTAAACATTATATAAGAATCATATTTGTGATATTTAAATGTATTTATAAAAATAGTACATTTTAGAATGAAATTATAATTAAGTTATTTTAATATTTTTATAAATAATATGTATAAGAAAGTATATAAAATATTGTAATTAATTCAACATAATATAACAAATTAAATGCAAATAGATGAACATACGCAAATTCTATTAATATTTGTTTAATCGCTTTAAAAATTAACATATTCAAATTTTATTAATATTGTTTTAATCTATTTAAAAATGAGCATACAAAAATTCTATTAATGTTTGTTTAATTTATTTAAAACTTATTATTAAAACTCATTTAAAAATATGTATTAAAATTAATTAATATTTTGTACAACTAAAAAAAAAAAAAAAAAACGATATGTGTTAATAACTGTAAATATAAATCACACAAAATATGTAAATATATTTAGGGTTAAATAAAGTTCTATAATAATAAATATATCCAATATCTTGTTGGCTTGAATATATGTTAGTATCCTTTAAAAAGGAAGACGTCATGCTAAGATTGCAGTTGTGATTAACCAGTAAATCTTAAAAAAGCATCAAACCTTATTTTCTTAATAATTAAAATACAATAATGGTTAGCTATGTTCAGTATGTTTTTGGCAAAGGTCTAAGTTTGACATACATTATTTGAAACAATTTGAGTAAACACAGAATAACTGCTAATTCAAAAACAAAATTCAGCCCCAGTTTTTCAGAAATACTTAAATGAGGTCACATGCGGAAGAGCAACATAGTCGATGAAGAGCAACTTTCTCAATCTGTAACTTGAAATAAAGTAGATATTTATTTAAGCGGTAAGATATGCAGACTGGATAAATATGACTTACATGTTTGTAAATAAGACATTTGGGGTGTTCTTATATTCTCTGGTCTTTCCTACTTGTTTTTTGTAAGGGTTTTCTCATGTGTTGTTGATGCTTGCACTGATTTGTCCTTGTATTGTCCTTTAGTCTTTCTTCTCTGCCAAGAATAGAAATCTTGTCCTGGCCAACTTTTCTCCACTGTCTGGCCTAAAAAACCGTGGGATTGGTAACGGTTTTCTCTCCGGAGAGCCATTAATTGCATTGAATTTGATTGTGAGAAGCTCACATTAGTATAATTACACTTGTGCAGGATTGACTCAGAATAATTGCTAAGGCGTCCCTAAAGAAAGCCTGCAGAACTCCCCAAATCCTGGAGAAATGACTCTGAAAGACAGAGGTTTCATAGACACAGATGATAATAGCAGCACACAACACTGAATACTGCTGCTCTGTTTAATGGAGATTGTTCACAGCAAACGGGAGACAGATATAAAAGAAAACTGACACAATAAAATCAAACTTATTTTCACTGTTTGTCTAACATTCTACAAGTAAAACTCTACAAAATAACACTTTAAACCTTAACTTCACCCTAAATAAACCAACCAATAAATAAGTCATTTAACTTGGTAACACTTTACAATAAGGTTCCATTAGTTAATGATAGTTAATAGCTTTACTAAGATGAACAATTATTTATAACAGTATTTCAGGGTTTCTGCTGGCTTTTAAAAAGTCTTACATTTCAAAAACAAAATGTAAGACCCTAAAGTCTTAAATTCAGTCATATATTTTGTTGTAGGTCTTAAATCATGCTCAAAATTGATTAGCTCCGTTTACCAAATATGGTTTAACCATCGTCTTTAATAAAACATTCATTCAGTTATTTATGCATTTGTAGTAGGGGTGATTGAAATTTTCTGTTCAATTTCGATTATCGAATCAAAAAATAGAATCGTCGATGCTGCCACGCCCCCATGTCACGTCAGCTTGTCTTGCCAAGCGGGAAAAAACAGGCTTGTTGAAGTGCTTGTTGAACTGCAGGTACAGGAGACTCGTCGACAGAGCTTAAATCCTCTCCTCTTTCAATGAAGTCGCCGGTGTGTAAGCATTTTGGATTTCCAGTGAGTTATGTTGACAACGTTCGTGTTGTCGACAAAAAAAACACAGTTTTGCAAGCTCTGCTATGTACATATTACTTACAGTTCGTCCGATAGACAACACCGGCATCGCGATCCTCCACCCGCCGCCGTTGCAAATCCGCTCGCGAAAAGTACACACTCAGGCCCTGTTTACACTGTCTTTGTTTTTAAATGGCATTTTAGAATGACAACGATTTGACATCCACAGTGGCGTGTAGCATTAATGAGGAGCCCTCCTTCCTCACTACCTCTGACACACACACACACACACACACACACACAGACATAGACGCACACACACAGCCATGGGCTCGAGACAGCGGGTTCAGGCAGTCAGAGAATCAGTAGACTGCTTCAATCTTTCACTCACTTGTACTTAGTCATTTTAGCGCACACCTCAGATACTGTTGGCTGGTTCCTGTTGGTTGTGCGTCTTTTTTACCGACGCCATTATTACGACACAGATCACTGCCTATTCACGAGTCCCGCAGAAAAAGTGATTGACAGGTGGTAATTATGTGTGTTTCTTGCCTTTATTCATTTACTGTATGATTTGTTTATGGGTAAAACAAAGACCACGCAGGTCAGGTAGTTTAAACGGTAGGCTACAAATAATTAATTGGTCATTAATGAATTAATTATTCATAATCGAAAATCGAATCGAATCGTGCCTTTAGAATCGAAAATGTAATCGAATCGAGGATTTGGAAGATCGTGACACCCTTAATTTGTAGCCATCTGGTGAGGACACTGACAGACGCTTGTGCATACATTCAGTTTATTATAGTTTTAAAACTTGTCAACTTAATTTTTAATAAAAAAGTTATATTGAAAAACACATGAATATTGTGATAAATGCTGCACAATTCCTTTATGTTTTCCCATCACAAATCTATTAAGTTAACTTAATAGACCTTGATTTGTTTTAATTAAAGTGGATTGAACATAAAACAATTAAGTTGTTCTCAAAGAAAACTCAATAATTGTGTTGATTCAACTCATTTTAAATAAGCAGTTTGATCAAGCAGAAAAAAAGTACATTTACACTGTAAAACATGCGAGGTTATACACAATTTAATTAATGTTGTCTTAACACAAAACTAATAAGTTAACAAATGTAAGTGGATTGAACATAAAACAAGTTGTCCCAAACAAATCACAATAATTGTGTTGTTTTCACTCATTTTAAATAAACAAGCAGCAAAAAATGTTGAATGTATTTAAAATATGTAAAAAAAATATATATATTTTTTTTTTTACTGGGGCAAGAAAAAAATCTTTACCACTGACCCAACTGGGTCATTAGAAAAAAATAAATCCTTAGTGCCATGTCTGAAAAGTCACTCATAAGAGCCTTAAAAATATTGTAAATTAGACTTTGAAACCCTGGTATTTATTCATCTTGGTTAACAGAAATAAAGCTGGTGTATTGACAAACACAACTAATTATCTATTAATCTAATTGTTTTAATTCATTAGTAAATGCCGATGATGCATTGTGTACAAATGTTGTTCATAATTAGTTATTTTTAGTAAATACTGCACATTGATATCATTAACTAATGGAACTAATAAAAATGGATTTTAAAGCTTGAGCTATAACTTAATCATTTTACACACCTGAAGGCGCTATACAAATACCTGTGTCTAAAATGACCTAACAATTGAACAGACATATATTTATATTTATTCAGCATACAAAATTATATTTCTTAAATAATAATAATAATTAATTAATAAATAAATAAATAAATAAATAAATAAATAAATAAATAAATAAATAAATAAATAAATGAATGAATAAATAAATAACCTTGATCCCATATAACTGCACAACTTAAACAAATAAAATAGAATTTTACTGTACATATATTTTTAAATGATTATACATTGATTAGAATGGTGTACTGTGCTGTACATTTTTCAGTTCAAAACAGACCTGACTGTGTTATGGTGGTTAATAAAGATAACCAATGTACTACACAACTAATACTTTAACAGTATTAAGAACAGAGATTAGGGGATGAAGATTTAATGCATAAAATACAAATTTAAATTTACACAAAACATAAATGAAATTGCACATTGCATGGTTTAAAACTAAAAAAAAACCTGCATTGTTTGTATGTTTTGCTTCCACGGAAATGTTTCACAACTTTTTAGATACTTTGTGTATATATTGCTAAAAATAAATAAATAAATAAATAAATAAATTGAACACTTAAACAACACAATGTAACTCCTAGTGTCTCCTGTATTATTTTGACCAGGTATACTTATATTCCCAAAATAATCTAATAGATTTGTCTATTATTATCAACGGCAGTAATGTGCACTGTAGTGATCTGTGTGAATTGTAGCATGTTCTGTCTGTGTATTAAGTGTTGTGTTGTTATAATCTCTCTTTTAGTGGAAACATCACCTTCAGTTTTAGAAATGACTTCATCTGATTTAGAGCAAACACCCCTTCAAAATGATTTGTGGGAAGGTTTGTGATATGCAAGCTACTAAAATACAGTACTAATCACCATAGACTTAACCAAACAACAGGAGTTGCTGTACTAACATAGATTTTAACACAACTTACTCAACTAGAAACTAGCAGTTTAGTGCCGTAAATCTATAGAAACACATAAGGGCTGATGCCATCTAAAAGACAATGTATTCAAAACTTTCATACGATTGAATAGCTTTCAGTGTCAGAAATATCTGTATATGATTGTTTTATATTAAAATACAATAATTAATAATACTGTAAATACATGAACATCTATCAAATATATATATATATATATATATATATATATATTAATTATTGTCATAGTAGTAATATTTATTTTTATGTTTAAAGTTTTCATTATTTAAAATTTTCTTTCCTGTTTCCTGCATTATTAAAATAAAACATTATGATTATATATATATATATATATATATATATATATATATATATATATATATATATATATATATATATATATATATATATATATATATAGTTTTAGTCCCACTCAATCAACTAACAATTTATTAGTATTAAGAACATAAAAAGGGAATGAAATTATAATAATTACAGTTGAAGTAAAATTCAAATATTCAAATATTTCCCAAGTGATTTTTTTAACAGATTTTTCAGATTATTTCCAATTATATATTTCTTCTGGCAAAAGGTTTATTTAATTTAGTTAGGCTAAATTAATAATATGATGATTTTAGATGGAAAAACCTTCTGCCATTTGAAATGTTCTGCTAAAATGAGCATTTTTCTCAGTCTCCTATGTTTATATGCAATTATTTGACTTTAATGGACATGAAAATAACCTATTCATCACCATAACAGTGAAATATCTGAAATTACACAAGGAAAAAACAAACAAATGCTCATTTTAGAAGATTTCTGATGGCATTTAGAGGCTTTTGCATCTGAACTCTTCATATATCATAATTATAATAATAGTAATATGGATGGTGCGTTGGTTGTATGGATGGTGCGTTAGTGGCGAGACCATGCGATGTACCATGTCTGTTGGTCGGTGGGTGAAATGCAGCTATTTGTTAGTCCATCAAGTTGTCATCCACCCCTTGTCATAAACCCATTATATACACTGTCATCAAAATAAATTAGTAAAAAAAAATTTTTTATTATCTATTCATTCATTTTCTTTTCGGCTTAATTAATCTGGGGTTGCCACAGTGGAATGAACCACAAACTATTCCAGCATATGTTTCATGCAGTGGATGCTCTTCCAGTTGCAACCCATTACTGGGAAACATCCATACACACTCATTCACACACATACACTAAAGACAATTTAGTTTATTCACCTATAGCGCATGTCTTTGGACTGTGTTGAAAACTGGAGCACCCGGAGAAAACCCATGGGTAGAACATGCAAACTCCACACAGAAATGCCAACTGACCCAGCCAGGGCTCAAACCAGCGAACTTCTTACTGTGAGGCAACAGTGCTAACCTCTGAGCCACCGTGTTGCCTAAATTAAGAATTAATAAATATTTTTTTCAGCTTAGTCCCTTTATTAATTTGAGGTCGCCCCAGCAGAATAAACAGCCAACTTACCCAGCATATGTTTTACGCAGCGGATGCCCTTCCAGCTGCAACCCATCACTGGGAAACACGCATACACACTCATTCCCACATACACTGCGGACAATTTCAGCTTGCCCAATTCACCTATACCACATGTCTTTGGACTTGAGGGGGAAACCGGAACACCCGGAGAAAACCCACTCAAACATGGGGATAACATGCCAACTGACGCAGCCGAGGCTCAAACCGGCGACCTTCTTGCTATGAGGCGATTGTGCTATACACTGCACTGTCATCACCTAAATTAGTTATTAAAAAAATATGTTTATAAATCTAAGGTTTAGCAATGTATTGAAAACAAAACTCTGTCAAACAACACTTGGAAAATATATTTTAAAAAAATCTTTATCTGTATAGTATTTCTAAATAAATAATAATCTGTTAAAAAAAAAAAGAATAAAAATAAAATAAACTTACAATGAGAGAGTAAGATCAAAATCAGCCGTCCAGACGTGTAGTTGAAACAGACAGCCAGAAGAATGAAACGTAGACCTTTTCCTGACACGCTTTATCTTTTAACTGCTTCAGGACCCGGAGCAGTTCAGGACGGCAACAGCGGCACGTCGACGGTTTTCAACCCCTTCTGTCTACTCATCGCAATCCTACAACTCCTGCTCAAGTTTTGATGCCGAAGAGCTTTCAGTGAATACAAAAAAAAGAGTTTGTGTGGCATCATGTTCATCCTGGAGTCACGAATCGTGCATGGGTTACCAAAAATGTGCAAAACAAAACGTGCATCAGGAAACCCGAGCACTTCCTTTTAATAATCATGCATTTCTTTGGTTTATAATAGAGTTTAATAATGTAACATTGCTAATGATCACTGTTTTTGCCCCACCGAATGCAGTTTTGTAAGAAAAACGACAAGAGGCATGTCTAATTTTAAAATACGTAATTTATTTTTAAACGTTTATTAATTTAACTCTGTAACCCAATATATGAGTTCATATAGAGTGCAGTATTTATGAGGGAATCATTATTTCAAATCAAAGGCATGTAGTAAGGAGGGGTGTATGTGTGTGTGAGTTTATTTTTTTATTTTTTGGATTGTTTCTGCATATTTTTATGTATCATAATTATTCAACAAATCAAAATAAGCAGCAAAAAATATACAAATGTTTTAGCTATGTAATATTCATGTTTTAAATACTCATTCATTCTATTTTAACACATACATATCAATTTGGTGCATATCTGTACAGTGTATTTTATTTTTTATTATATTTTGATGATAGGAATGGCACAGTTGGACTATGCAGAAGCTCACACAAACAAATTACTAAATAAAATTTGGGAGTCATTTCTTAACAGTTTATTCATTAATGTAGAGTTAATGAATCTGATATAAGAGTCCAAAGAGCAATCTGCTAATACCTGATGATTTTTTTTTTTTTCGCCATTGGAATGATTTTCTGGGTTTTTATTTTATTTTAGTCTTTATTATTTTAATTTAATTTAGTTTTATTTTATTTTATCATATTTTAAAAATATTTCTTATTTTTATTTTATTTAGTTTTATTTAATTTAATAAGATTTTTTATTTTGTTTAGTTTTATTTAATTTAATTTAATTTTGATATTTATTATTTTTATTTTTTTATTTAGTTTTATTTAATTTAATTTATATTTTTATTTTATTTAGTTTTACTTTTATTTTATTTTTTTCTGTTTATTATTTAGTTTTATTTAATTTAATTTTTTAAATTTTAGTGTTATCAAAACCAATCTGGGCACTTAAATGTATTTAATTTGAACCCTTCTTACCCTCATTTCTGCTAACATCTCTGTATGTAAATGCGTACATATAACCTGTACAAAGGGAAAATATGCACACTCATTTTAATTAAAAGTGTGAACCTGTTTAATAGGATTTAAATTTTTTTTTTTTTTTTTATTAAACCCCCCCTTTATCAGTGTAATTTATTTTTGGGAGGGTTTCACGCTAGGTATCAGCTCATTTTAGTTGCTCATTGTGAAATCTGATGTCTAAATATTGTGCTTTGGGAAAACGCTGCTTGATTTTACTCATTATCTTACAGTATCATGAGCAGATGTCCCGTTATCATCAGTATTCTGTTGGAGAAAAAAAAAGAAAGATGTTTGATTTATAGTATTTTAACACTTACCTCAGTATTAAGGTGTTGGTTGACTGAAAATCCACAATAAGATTTGTTTTGTTGCAGTGTTTGATATGATATGTACACCAAGTTTATTTTCTCCAATTTGAAGGAATAGTTCAGCCGAAGATGAAAAGTGCCATCAATTATTACCTCTCATCCCAATACAATCAAATACCAAAACAAACGCCACATAAAACTAAAATTAACCAATTAGAAGTAGGGGTTTGTTCACACTTAGAGGGTAGGATTTTGCTCTGTAAGCACAGTTCATTTCACGATCTAGATATTGTCGCAACACAAAAGTTGGATCTTTACTCCTTACTTAGAAAAGTGATAATATTACGTTACCCCCAAAACTGTTGACTACTGTATACAAGAGACATGTATTCTATCTGTTTGTTAAGTCCTGATGTATGAATACTGTTTCTGGGTCCAAGCCGCTACTCATTTGAAATAAAAAAATGTTCGTTAATATGTATAATATTATTTATTGAATATATGATATTAGGCATGGACATATATATATATATATATATATATATATATATATATATATATATATATATATATATATATATATATTAAAATCAAGATTTTTTAAAATATTACAGCGCTTTGTAAACGTTTATTATTATCATTTGATGTGTCTCCCCGTACAGTTTGATATAGCGCTCAGACTCGGAAGCCGCTTTGCGTGACTTCACAATTAACAAGCGGATAGTCTTTGCCAATACTACAGTCAGACACTCTAACAGCTTTGATTAACCCTCTGGGGTTTGAAATGATTTTGGGGGCTCAAGATGTTTTGACATGCCCTGACATTTTTGCTTATTTCAGCTACTTATTACATATAATTTGACACCATGTCTCGTTTTGGTATTCAGCACAAACTGTGCTACAATAATATGTGACAAATATTGATGAATATGCTTGCGTTTTCAAGAAAAATAATATTATGCGTGGTTAGTAGGTTTCAGAAAAAAATGTAGCTGAAATAAGGTCTGAAAACCATAGTAAATAGGCTTGAATAAGACCGTTGAGTAACCATTCTTGTAGGTTTAAATATTTACTTCCCAATTGTGTGAAAATGATTCTGTTCTTGCATTCAAATAAAACATTACAATGATTTACATTTTGTACACATCTAATTCGCATGTGTTTTAGCAAACTAAAGAAAAATTCTCCATATTAAGATTCACAGAAACATGACTCCTTTACAGATTTTATAAAACTTCTCTTATAGAAGCATACACTCAAAAAATGTTATTTGCTGTTTGTTCAAACTACTTTTTAAAATGAGCTGAAATGACTCAAATCTTGAGGATTTTTTGGGACAACTTTTTTTTTCAATCCATTTATTTGTAAAAACGAATAAGACTTATAAGACTTAATTCCTTCGTGTTGTCCTAACACAAATCGATTGTGTGGAACCCATCATTTTGTTTACAGTTTATTTATGCACATACAGCAAGCATGTTTACCTCAGCATTCTTTTGGAAGTCATAAAATATGTATTATGAAAGTTTTCTATTTTGTAAGGCTTGGCCTTAAAGGTCTAATAAAATTAAAATAAAAGTTTTCAGATGTTAATATCAGTATTTTTGTTGTTTTAGATATCTATAAGCTAGTGTCCCACAAAACAGTGACAACATTTGCAATTAGACGATATAAACTTGTAAAGCTTGTCGTTTGTCCCCTCCACATAAATGGATCAACAATTATATTCACGTCAACTCACAATCACAGTTTCTCGTCACATCATAACCAATCAAATGCTCTCTAGTATCTGAAATCTCTCGCCCCCTTCAAGATGCTTTTCATTTGATGCACTTGAGCTCAACCACTTAAAGACTGTTTTTTTAAAAAAGGAGAAGAGCTACTCTCATCGTGTTTTGGTTTAGATTACATCAAACATCGAATAAAATGATGAGATGAGAAGTGATACTACATTAAATGTATACTCTCTCAGTCTGAGCCACATGAACTGAACAAGTGTGAACAAACCCTTAAATTTAAAACCCCTAAAACTTAAATATGATTGGAATCTTTTGGATGACTCAAAATTGGACATGCAAGTCATACAAATCACATTTATGATGCTTTATTGTCCTTTTTTAGAACTCAGCAGGTTCATACACATTGTCCTGAAAAGATCTGCAGACAGTCTTGACATTTTTTTAAAGAAAAAAATGAGTATATATCTGAGTAAATGGCAGTTTTCATTGTTTGTATGATTCATCCCTTTAAATATCATATTTTTTAAAACCACACGTTAGACAAAGATCATGAGTCCAGTGGATTTTAAGCACAAGTTGTATGTTAATGAAAGGGGAATGTGACGTGTGTACAGTTTAATGAATGAACAGTGTTTTTCACACCCAAATGTGTATTTCAGCATTATAGTTTTATTTTCTTTTTAAAATCAAGACAGAGGGACCACAAGCAGACTAAGAAAAGCCCACGTATTTTACATAACACACTTTTCAATACCCAAATTTAAAAGCGCCTGCCAATAAATATCTTGATTTCCTGGTATTTGGATGAAGGCTGAACACAGGGCTTGTCTGTGCATGGCTGTAATGCAGTTCATACGTCCAACTTGGTGCAAAAAAAAAAAAAAAAAAAAGGTATTGTTTCGCAACCTTTAAAAGAGCCTGGAGAAGCTGATGTTCCGCTGGTGGGTCCCAGGAACAACTGAAGTATTTTAACTCCATGTAATGTAAAGAACTTGTTTTGTCATGTTTTTCCTTTAATGGCGATGATGTGTTCATATTTAAGACTTACAATAATAAAAAAAAAAATGGTTGTATCTAAATAGAATTGGTCTGCAGTATATTTGTGTCTTGGTTAATCATCTGGATGAAAGTAAAATACACATGCTTAATTATGCTGTTGTCTCTGCGTGGCCGTTTGCTCTCATTTTTGTTCAAGGTCATTGGTTTCATCAATGTCTTGTGCTACTTTACACCAGTGTATAATGGAACCAGCTATTTGAACTGCTATATAATGGAGTTTACAGGGTCTAATGGTCAAACATAATATTAGTCATATTTATTTTTTAATTCCTCCATATTTTCCCTCATGCTTTATTTTCCTTGTAAAATGTAAACTGTAAAGTAATTAAACTCCAACAATGGAATAAAATAGGAATTAAAATGTAGAACATCATATATAATAAAATAAAAAAACAGATTAAAACAGTAATTTTGGCCAATGTTATAGCAATTTGAAAATGCTCCTTAATGTTTGAATATGTTTTAAAATGTGTTTTGTTCTGTGATGCAAAGTTTAATTTTCAGCATCATTACTTTAGTCTTCAGTGTCAAATGATCCTTTAGATATCATTATAATCTGCCGATTTGCTGCTCAAGAAAAAAAAAAAAAAAAAAACTATTTTCGTTATTATCCACAACCTATAAATGGTAGAAAAACCACAACGCTCTACAGATTCATCATAATTGCTCAAAAAATATTAAATAAAATAAAACACAGATCGCCCAGGGAAATCAAAGATGTTCAATAGCATCTGATAATAATAATAATAATAATAATAATAATAATAATAATAATAATAATAATAATAATAAAAGTGATTATGATAATAATCATAATAATATTAATAATAATAATAATAATGATGATGATGATAATAACAATAGTGATAATAATAATATTAATAATAATAATAGTGATAATAATATTATTAATAACAATAGTGATGATGATGATAATAATAATAATAGTGATAATAATAATAGTGATGATAATAATAATAACAATAATAGTGATAATAATAATAATAGTGATAATAATAATAATAATAATAGTAATAATAATAATAATAATAATAATAATAATAATAATAATAATAATGATTAAATATGCAAAATGAAGGCTATTCTATCAATCATGCAAAAATATAATAAATTGTTGAAATATTTTTTATAATCAAAAGAGAAGTTTCCTTATAGAATTCCATGTATAATAATATTCTTTCTTTCATCTTCTTTATTTCGAAATAAAATAAAATAAAATAAAATAAAATAAAATAAAATAAAATAAAATAAAATAAAATAAAATAAAATAAAATAAAATAAAATAAAATTAAATTAAATTAAATTAAATAAATGTGACGCGGACATTCATGTTATAATAAAAGTCCAACACTACTTTATAATGTGCATTGACTATAAACT